ATATATATGAACAAAAAATAAATAAGCGTGTGTCATATACCCCGGTAATTGGATTAGACCAGTGATTCCCAAAGTAGGTGGTACTGCCCACCCACTGGAGGCGGTGAAAAATTCCAAGAGCGGCGGTGAGAAAAAAACTGGGCAGCCAGAGGGTGGCAATGACACATCTGAACCCTAACATACACCACACACCAATTGTGTCCGAAGTGTGTCTTGCCTTCCCTTTACAGTCTATCTCATTTATTTTAATAATTATTATGGGAAATACTAAGATACTCATTTGACATTCAAGACTTGCCCCAAGAAAATCCAATCAAAAGTTGACTATGCGTTTGGAGAGGGGGGAGTTAGGGTTGTGATTTGGTACACGAGGGGGCGGCAACCCCAAAATGTTTGCAATCCACTGGATTAGACATCTGTCTATATTTCTGAGATGATGTACTGTAACTATTTACATTATTTATATTGTTCGGACTGTTGTCCTCATCTTTATTACCATATTGACGACGTTTCAGCTGTTGTACGCTTTGGCCTTCTTCAAGTGATATTACACTGAATTACACTAGCTAATAAGCATTTCTATTTGACAGACTAGTCCACTGATTACCCCAGAATTAAACATATATATGATTATAAATGACTGAATTATTATTACAAATCAAAACAATGTTAATTTATTAAAATAAATCCTGTTTGGTACGCTACGCCCTGATGACCCTAGAATGAAATATATATGATTATAAATAATTAAATTATGATTACACAGCAAAATAATTAATTTAAAAAGTCCTTTTTAATACATTAGTTTTTTTTTTTTTGAGGAGCTCAGAATGAAATATATACGATTGCAAATGATTGAATTAAGATTAAAAATTGAAATAATGTTAAAATATAAAAACTTCAGTTTGACACACTGGTTCCTTAATGAACACAGAATGAAATTCCCAAGACTACTTATTCATTAATAGTGTATTCAATACCCACAAAGTGCTGCACTACCATGGCCGTGTGCTATACCTAAGTATACATAATGCGATGATAGCTTACCTGGTAATTTTATTGTGGTTAGATACATACCGGTCCCAGCTGGGCCGAGCGGTTAATGTGCTCAAACCCCAGGTGACCATCATCCAATACCTCGAAGAAGATGCTAGTATAATTACCTGGCGTCTGAGACGTCCCAAAGGGAAATAACGAAAGTGCTTGTGTATTTTGTCACTAGTCCATGCATACATGGGTTCCCACCTTAAATTTGACCTCAAGTGGTTGGTTGGATAAATACCTTTTCATGTGAGCGGTGTGTTCGATCCTTGTAAAGCTACGCTATCAACTTATGTGACAAGCAGTCGTCCGACCTTGCGATAACTGTTTTTTAACTGATGCAAACAAGTAGTAGACTTACCTTTCTCCTATGTTCATCATAGTAAGTTTTGTCCCATCTTTTCTGAAGCAATTTGTTTTGACAAGGTAGGATGGATTGATAAGACCGGTGCATTTCGTCGTTTCCTTCCGCAGTCGCCAATAACGTCGGACTGTCACTACCGCTTCGTAGCGACATCTGTGTTGGTTATTCGTTTATCCGTCTATATTCAGTTAAATGGGCGAGTCTATACTTGGCCAATAGTAATCGCCGACAACAGCAAGACGCTTTTTTTTTCTCTTTTTAATCTATTTCACTGACAAAAGAGAGAACAATAAGTGTTCAGTAAGATTAATAAATAGTCGCTTCGTCCGGTTCGATGATCATGTTTGTCGCCTCGGTGTTGTATATAATCAGTGTTCTGTCTCTAAGGTGCGAGAGGCCTTCGTTACTAGGCAGGTGTGTGAGCGTCACGGAAGAGTAAGCCACGCCTTCGTTGTATATGAACCCCAGTTTGTGGGGCCGATTTCCAGATACCTTCTTTTTTTTTTTTTTTTTTTTTTTGTAAGTGAAAACATTTTTTTGCTTGAATTTTTTTTTTGTGAAGATTTCAAACGAAAAAAAAATGTTTTAAATTAAACTGGTGGGCTTGTCTCCATCAATATGTCAATATGGTATTGAAGACACAATTGTAATATAAATAAATAAAGATTTAATAACAAATTTATTATATACACTCTCTCACAAAAATATAAATAAAATATACCATACGGTGGTATTGTGAGTTGGATTCTCACAAGGTGACCTACTTTTGTTATCCTGTGCTTAATTCCAAGCTAGACCAGTGGTAATTCCACGGATGTTGACAACTCGTTACTCCCGCATATATATATATATATATATATATATATATATATATATATATATATATATATATATATATATATATATATATGGATGTGAGATGACCTATTTACACTATTTACATTATTTATTACGCCATATTAATTACAACGTTTCGGCCATTGTACGCTCCGAGCTTCTTCTTCAAGAACACATGGCACCGTGGATAAAGGCGTTGGTTAGATCCAGTGACAGGACCCAAAGAGTGTGAGTTCAATACCCGGATAAGGCAGTGGAGAACTTTCAGAGGGGAATTAACAGGAGATAACTGATAACTGACATCCATTAAACATGGAACGTGGAACTAGAACAGTCTACCCCAGTGAGCGAAATAAAGGGTTCAGTACGACATTTCAACCACCTGAAGAAGGCCGGAGCGTACAACGGCCAAAACGTTGTAATAAATATGGAAACAATGATGAGGACTATAGTCCGAATAATGTAAATAGTGTGTGTATGTGTGTGTGTATTTTCTGCAATTATTGTATGGATAATTCATTACTTACTAGAAGTGATGTTATTTACCCACCTCCTTTAGGACGTGACACAAGGTCAGTGTAATGTGAGGTGCTGTATATACAGCCAAGGTAAAAAAAATTGCGCAGTCCACGCAACCACTGTCAAGCTAACATCGGTGCATCTAAATAAAGGAGGTGCTGTTGCAAGGTTGGAACCCCTGAAACCAGACTTTTTTCATAACGTTAAGAGAAAAAGAGAATAGGTGATACACTGATTCCAGTGCCAACACTGTGGAAAGGAATGCTGGTGCTTGCAGTAATGGGATTTATCATAATGAAACGTGGCACAATGTCTAATTTAAAGTGGGAGCCCAAGAAGAAAAATTGCTTTAATCCCTTCCTCCATTTGAGAACCCCTCCAGGTGTCAGAAAATGACCCTGGTCTGTCTGTCTGTCTGTCTGTCTGTCTGTCTCTCTCTCTCTCTAGAAGAAGAAGAAGTATTTCCTGGAGGAACGGCCTCCTGGGATTGAGCTAACATTAATAATTTTAAAACTCGTAAAAATGCGTGTACTCATCGTTGCTAGGACCTTTTTAATCTGTGTTTGGTAGGATATGAAGAGGCATCATCTGTCATAAAGTGCTAAATCCAAAAGGAAACATGTAAAGAAGTATTCTCGTCACTTGGAAGCAATGCAAAAACATTTGCTAAAAACGTGTCAGTCATTAGTTAATCATAAAAGCATTGTTGCTCTTACATGATCTTGAATCCAACTCTCCTCCCCAAGCTATGAGTTAATTAGTAAGACTTGTATCACTAAACTGTTATTCTGTCCCCCACCCAAATTCTTACAATTAAAAAAATGTGTTGATAAACCACATAGGGCCCTTGCCACCCAGGAAAAAATTATAGCACTATAGATGTATTGATTGATTTGTTTAACGGTATATCAACTCCTTATGGGTCATTTAATGCCGTTTTTTTTCTTGAGTGTTTGAAGTAATTTGGTAATTTTACTATATTTATTGTTACTATTTCTTATATAAAAATGTATTGCTGGTATTTTTACAATAAAAATAGATTTTTATATTTTAATAGTGTTTTGTTTTTGTTTTGGGGTTTAACTATTTACACATAGCTGGGATTCTAACAGGTCAGGGTGGACCCGGGAACAACAGTAATTAAGAGATGGCTCCACGCTCTTCAAAATCTCCAATCTCCCCATCAGAGGCATTGCTGCCGGATGTAATTTATCGCCATACCAAGGACTAAGTATAGATGGAAATTTGGCCTCATACTCCTTACTCTCCTGAACTTTCTCCACCTGACTATTGTTTTTTCAGATTGTCGCAACACTTTTTATTGGGCAAACAGTTTATTAATTGTTTTCTTGGCTCGCTCCTTCTATGTTTGAGAAATTTGCGTGTATCGTAAAATATTATTAGCGAAATGTCGGAATTAAAGCAGTTCGATTCGTTTAAACATTTTGGTAGTTGTGCAGAAATTTCTGCCGCCCAGGTTCTTTTTATATTAAATATCCGAACATCCGAATTCCAAACACCAATAAAATTAAAATAAAGAAAACAAGGTCTCATGCCTGTTAAATAAATCATTGGTATTTTCAAACATATGTACACGAATTCAAAAGAATCAAAAGTGAGTAAAAATAGTCTTTAGCTGAGTTAAAATCTTTAGGTAGTTGGTTCACAGAAAAATATGTGGTTTAGAAAAGACTTCATCAGCGAAGATTCACTGACCGTCTGAGCTATGATTGTTAGAGGTGATTCGTTTGAAGTTACCGACACAAGTTTCTTTCAGCAGGCACTGGGTAGGAGGAGGAAAAGACTATGTAGCTATTGTCTTCTCTTTTATTTGAACGGCTTGGAAACAACTGCATCTTTGTTGCTGAAAGTCGAAATCTGTGTGTTTTTATAAGAATATCTTTCTGAATGTAGACTCGAGAAAAATAGGGATTAATTTTCTCTGATTGGCCAAATATTTCACATGGTGGTGTCAGTTTCTAACCAATAGACATTCTGATTTAAACAGCGTGCGTTGTATTTCGGAATCTTTAGGGGGTGGTTGTAAATATTGTCTGTTATTGAGGAGAAAATAAAGTTTTGGCGTGTTTTAATATGGTGTATATGTTGGTATGTAATTGTGTTAGGAATAGGGTTTATTTCCTATCGTTGTTTATTTCATATCGGGCATGTTATAATAATATAATTTATAAGATGTGTTAGATTTTCAAACTTCACAATTAACAATGTAAACATTGCTTATGAAACACCGATTCCCGGACGATCACCGAAGTTAAGTAGCGTCGAGTCTGGTCAGTATTGAGACGGGTAACCGCTTGGGAATACCAGGAGCTGTAAGCTTGAATGTGTTGGTGGTGTAATGAATAATGGTTCGGAATTTTTTAATTAGCCGAGTTCCAATTCACATTTGGTTTTGTTATATTCATTTACGCGCAAGGACCCTTGGGAAAGGTATGAATCCAACTCTTCTCCTCCAGCTATGGGTTAATTAGTAAAACTTGTATCACTAAACTGTTATTATGTCCCAAAACAATTCTTACAATTTAAAAAAAATTCTGGCTTTAAATAACCTGCAAAGGGTTGATAAACTGTAGAAAACGAAACATTAAATCATAAACGTTACTCATTTCCTTTTCTTCTCAAGTTGCGCTGGAAATGCTAAATTAGTTGCAAAGCTGAGAAATGGCTTCATTTAAATAACGAAATAATTTAATTATAAAAGCCATCAACAGAACAATCGCTTATTCATGCAGATCACAAAAAGACAGATTGAAAATGAATTTAAAAAATCAGTTACTTTTAAAAAATTGTTTTGGAAACTCAATATGCAAATAAGTTATCTACCATAAAACAAGAAAGGCCAAGTTCGATAGACTACATGACAGCGGTTTCAATGCATAAATTATTAAAACCGTAGTTATTTGATATCACATTATTAATTAATTTTCAGGGGTCCGAGCGGACGCAAACAAACTTTGATATTTATGTATTAGATGAAATCTATACTATATTACTAACTTTTGCTTATTTGTCCGTGCTATGATCATGCTCAAAAAACAAAGCCCGCTGAGCTAATTTCTACTGTAACGACTCACAAAACACCCGGTTGTGATACCCACCATATGCGGTTGATCTCGGAAGTCAGTCGAGGTTAATCATGAACACATCATGACGTTTCTATTCAAATTAAATTCTTCTTCTATGTGCCATGTCCCTTCAAAACGACAGCGATCATGGCTCGCCACAATTTTCTGTTCTTTGTAGTTCTTAGTAAATTATGTTGTTTTTTTTCCATCTGTGAAGAGATTGTCCAGCATTCATTGCCATATAGGCATAGACAGATATTACATAACAGTACAGTATTCTTTTCTTTGATTTTAACGAATATTTCCTGTTTGTTATGTTTTGCTTAGTTTTTGGAAGACATATTCCGCTATTTCAATGCGCCTTCGGATTTCGTTGTATGTTCCGTCTTCTGTTAAAACACTTCCAAGATATTTAAAGCTTGTACTAGCTGGAATTTGGCATCCCCAGTTTGTAATTTGCATGTTCAGTGCTTTCATTAGTTGACAACGAAACATTTTGTCTTCATATTGTTGATGCTTAGTCCTTTTTCTCGCTTTCCTTTACTACCGGATTCGTTTGTTGGTGTGAAGTAATTGGCCATGATTAAGTGCCATTGGCAAAAATGTTTAATAAACGAAATTGAAAAAATTTTGAATAAACAATTAGTACGAAAAAGAACAAGGTAAAATAATACTAAGCAAACAATATATATATATGCAAGACTAAACTAGGCAAAGTAACAGCAGTAATAAGGCAAAAAGTCCACAAGACAAGAATGGTATTAACACGCAGAAGGGATACAGTCAAAGGAATGTAGCAATATGACTACAAGACAAGAAAGAACCAAAATATAGCAGATGAGAACAAGAAGTCGTTTTTGTTGGTTAGAAAGAAATCCCAACGCGCATCTGTAGGATTTGTCTATAAATGTGGGGAGGGGTGTTTTTGCAGTCATTGTCATAGATTAGAACCAAGATTTGGTTACGTAATACTCTGAAGTCCTATTCCCTTCATGCTGAAAATGTCAGTTTGTAACTCACTCTCTCTGCCGCGTTGATCTGAATGAACCTGAAGACCACCGTGGTTACCATCTAGTTATCACACATTAACGCATTGCTGGTTTGTTGCTGGTATCGTGATGATGAGCACACTTCCACTTGATTTAGCTGACATTCGTCTGCTTCACGACCGTTCACTATTCTGCCACATTGAGTTTTTGATATCAGAGGGTGAGAAGATCACTGATGAAGTAAACTGAAGCGAAGAACAGGTCGACGGCGAGGAGCTAGACAAAAAAGAATTCTTTGAAATAAAGAATTGACTCGGGTTAAAAATGTAACAACGATTTGGTTTATATATGATTTGTTGCATGCAGCGGTTTAAACTATTCCCATTTCTGTTATAATCAAATGACATTGAGATCCCCTTTTAGAATTCACAGCCTAAATCAAAGCTTATAAAAATGGTGCATCCAAACACCTCATTTGTTGATAATGAGCCCGATTATCATAACTTGTACTAAGTGGAAAAGGATTGCAATTTGTAAATGCATTTTTATAAAAGAGGGAGTGAAAAATACGAAGAGAATGAATAATTATCAGAAAGTATAAAGTTCAAGCATACAATCAATATAATAAACAACGTGACTTTTTCTGTTTCTCTGTCCGTAGCAATCGATGGTGCTACTATAGTAGGATATCTACCATCCATTTTCTACTATAGTATGATACTTACCGTCCATTTTCTATTATAGTATGATATCTGTGATTCATTTTTTACTATAGTATGATATCTACCGTTCATTTTCTACTATAGTATGATATCTATCATCTATTCTCTAATATAGTATAATATCTACCATCCATTTTCTACTATAGTATATCTGCCATTAATTTTTTACTATAGTGTGATATTTACCGTCTATTTTCTACTTTAGTATATTTTCATCGCTTCTTAACGGCGACTCGGTAGCGGACTTTAATTAGCTGACCATTGCAATTAGCGAGTTTCATCTCCACTGGGTTCTCCAAATTTATAGCCTTGTGGCAGATTAAGCTTAGTTTATTAAAAGCTTTTCCATGCAAACAGTATAATTAAAAATGTTAAACACTAAAAAAATACAGATATCTATAGTAGTGTAATGGTTAACAAGTTGAACACATCAACTACTTTCGCTATTATAGTGAATTCAAATTTGAATGTTATCATCGTAATCTTTTATTTGGTTTTTATTGCAATTTTGCTGTGTAGACAACTGGATCGAAAATAAACGATAGATTCATAATTTATTATCTCTATTAAGGTGGAAACAAATGCTTATCACAAATTAATAATAATAACTAGAAAAACCTGTGAAAATTTCAGTTTTTCTCTTTGAATTTTCTGATGAATCCTTATTTTTAAGTTAATGATTGAATAAGCTCATAACGAGCTTTGTAACAATAAAATATCCGTAGAAATTCCCCTATCTTATTGTTAAATATTTTGAACTTAAAAACTTTAACAAAATATTGTAATAAGAATCATAAAAATGAATATCAATCGTTATTTTAAGAAGTGGGTACAAATGAAAAGATTTGAAATTGACAACTTTTTCCATTTCACTATATCAGCTGTTGAACACTTTTATTTCCCTTCTTTCTTTCTTTCTTATAAGATTTTTATGGGGTGAAAACCCTACGAGAAAGGGTATCGTAGTACAAACAAATGTTTGTGGTAACGTTAATGTATAAGGCCAAAAGCACACAACAAAGACAGACGACACGATCCGAGTTTAAAAAAAGGAAAACTACGTTAACTTTATTGAACACACAAATGAAAGGAATTACACAAATTAAGTGCTTTGTGTGCCAATAATGGCCAATAATATGTATGTACAAATAAATGCATATTGTGTAAAAAATATGCACTTTTTTACAATAAAGTATACAAAATTATACCTTTTTACACTAAAGGATGTACTGCAAACAAATTATTCTGTTTTTACAATAAACGACATTAAAACAAATATAGAAATGGGAAAGGTAGTATTTCTCTGAGTGCTTTTCAAAAGTCGTAGGTACAATGTCTGTAGTGACCCTTCTTGATAACAGTGAAGAAACGGATTTCACAGTCGAAGAATTTGTCTTAGATGAGGGAGCGACCATGATTTTCTTTTTAATCCTCGCCTGACGATATGAAATTTCTTCTGTGTCGTTGTTCCTTGACCGGAGTGACCTGGATTCAACCAGCAGCTTATGTCGACTCGTGGACCGGAGTGACCTGGATTCAGCCAGCAGCTTATGTCGACTCGTGGACCGGAGTGACCTGGATTCAACCAGCAGCTTATGTCGACTCGTGGACCGGAGTGACCTGGATTCAACCAACATCTTATGTCGACTCGTGGACCGGGTGACCTGGATTCAACCAGTCACTCGTTGACCTGGTCAACATCGTGGACTCGTGGACCGGGTGACCTGGATTCAACCAACATCTTATGTCGACTCGTGGAGACCTGGATTCAACCAACATCTTATGTCGACTGACCTGTCAACCGTGGACCGATTCAACCAACATCTTATGTCGACTCGTGGAGCGGAGTGACCTGGATTCAACCAGCATCTTATGTCGACTCGTGGACCGGAGTGACCTAAATTCAACCAGCATCTTATGTCGACTCGTGGACCGGAGTGACCTGGATTCAACCAGCAGCTTATGTCAACTCGTGGACCCGAGTGACCTGTTTTCTCCTTGCTGCAGATTATGTCGTTTCTTCTTCTCGTGTTCGATTCAGTTAAGTTCTTTTATACACCAAAACCGACTCCAGATGGTATCTCATGATTTGGAGCGAAGCCCTCTGATTGGTGCCAAAATAAATCTGCAGATTTTTCGTTTCTTCAAAATTTTCGATTCAAAGTTTTTTTTTGAAACTCAATACATGATTTTAAACTGATTAAAGCCTAAAACATTGTCCGTTTTCTTTAAACTAAGAAAAAGTCAGTTTTCTTTCAGAAAAACATGCTCAATCAGCTTAAATTTCTTATATTCTTTCTTTCTATGAACATCTCTCTTAAAAATAATTTTAAAATTTTTTAACAGACGATGTTGTTTTATTTATGGTAACTGAATTTTTGGCAATTGCCTTTCTCGGTTTCCGTCGTTCGATACTGTGCGTCACAAAAATGTCACTTTTATTAGAGGTGCCATCACTTCTCGGGCCTTTTGACTGGGAACAAAATGCAGTATATGCCCTCGGGCGGATAAACTACATTTCATCTCTCCATTGTGTCTCTG